GGGGGTGGGGGGGGGGGCTGGGGGGTTGGGAATTTCGTGGCCGAGCTGGGGGTTGGCTTTTAAAATTCGGATGCTTGCATATCCCGTAACCCGGACCGAACCCGTTGTATATATAATACGGTGGGCTCTTCCAGTGTTCAGTCTGTGGGTGAGTGCAAGACACCCAGTGGTGCCCTTGTTTATTTGGTTGGGATTTGGGATTTGGGAGGGAGTTCCCTTTCAAATCGGCTACCAGCAAGAGGGCATTGGGGATCTTTGGTGGGAGTGCAAAGCAGCACTGTGCCTGCACCGTTCTTCAACGGTTGCTGGATGGTTTTCATCAGGTCAGGTGTCAAAGGGAATAGGTCATGATTGGTCAACAGGCTGTCAAAGTGTAAGACCCTCCGTGCTCCACCAAAAAACAAGTTTCCTCTAAACACGCATGAACAACCGCGTGTGGGATAAAGACGCACGCTACACAAATCACATGTTCCCTACAAGGGTCTTGATTGTTTTTGGGCCTTCAAAACTGGTTGTCTTCAAGGGCCCCCTGAGGGGTCAGGGTTCTCCATTGGAGGGTGAGGGGGTGTGCATTGGAGGGGTCATGACCCTGAGGCATGACCCTGAGAGTTTTTGGTTAAATGTAGAGACGAAACTCTAAGATGAACTCCCGCCGGGTTGCAGGGTTTCTTTGAGGTCCCATGCCTGGGGCACTGCTTCAGGCGGGATGCGGAGTCCTTGGCACCGCAAAGGGCCGAGTCGCCCGAGTCGCCCGAGTCCCTGAAGGCGCGGGGGCGCGGGGGAGTGTCTTTGTGGGAGATTGTTGGTTTTAGGTGGCCATTTTCTGTGAGCTTCTTAGATTGTCGGTTTATTGAGGTATCCCACTTAAAGTTATCAAGTAGTCATGGTTTGGTATTGCACTCGCATCTCGCCATCATTTGGAAAGGCCATTTCCATGTGAGTTTCCCACTTCGATTGCGCCGAGTGACTTTGTTGAAATGAAACACGGGGTAGAGTACTGATGGATACGATCCAGGCCTGATAGATGAAACTTCTGGGATAAGCCACGCACCAACTCGCGTTTGTCCACAAGGATCCCTGACTTCAGCCTCAGGAGTTTCCCCTCTCGACGCAAGAGCTTCTGGACACGCGGCAGGCGAGCGCAAGCCGGGCCGATTCGGTTTGGCTCGGTTCGGTGAGAAGAGGAGGCTGAGTCGATCCAATGGCACAGAAAGATTCGTGGTCTTTGTTTCCGTGGTTGAAAAACTAAATTACAGTACTCTCGAGTTTTTGAGCATCCCTCCAAAGACCCCGAGTGTTGGCTTTGCATACTCACTTCCGGCCCAAGAACCCAGAGACATGGCATGCAGTGGGTTCCAATATATATATATATAGATATATATTTATATATATTATATCAGCCAGGATCAAGCGGGTGCTTTTGATTCGGGGGTCCGGATCACGTTTGGTGAGCCCTGCATCAATCCACCGGGTTGGTTCATCCGGGGGGCCGAGGGGCGAAGGTGCTGACAAAGGGGTGTGCAGTTTTTGGGAGTACCGTTGCCATTTTAAGGTTTGAAGTGAAGAAAAGCGGACATTACCCATTTTGGGGATTTCGCCATTTTGGGACCACTGACTATGGCCAATGTTGCTCCTTGCTGTGTGCTCGTGCCCTGCCTGGCAGGCAACCGCAAGTCCACTGTTGTTCTTTGCGTTACCCAAGTTGTCGTGTGCAAGGTAGGACGGGTTTCACCCCGACTAGCTACTGCCCCCACAAAACCGTTCGAAACCGACCCTAAAAATGCCTTTCCCTAGACCAACCCACGCCCACCCTGAAGCAATTCTAAACCCAGCCCAAAACCAACCCCAAGCTCAACCCTAACCAACCTAGCACGACGCTAGTTCGACCCAAAGCTCGTTGGGCACCCTGTTTTCACCTTGAACCAACCCTCTTGCGCCAATCCTGCGCCCGCCCCAAAGAGGCCACCAACCAACCTGAAATCCAGCACAAACTCCAAGCCAATCCAAAACAACGCTGCACATACCAGCCCAGACCCTGAACCGAGCCTTAATATACTATTGGACCAATCCTCAAACCCGCCCGCAACCGCAGCCGACCTCCCAGCCCAGGAAGGTTGTTGAGCTGCAACCGCCACCGCGGGGTTTCGCCAGGCGATCGTGGCAGCAAAGGATGCACTTGGCAACTGTGGGCATGAGCCCTGGAGAGCTGCGGCGCAAACGCCCATGGCCGACACTTTTTGGGACCCTTGGTTCTGGGCCTGGATTTTTCATGTTAACCTCTGATTTTTCCGGAGGACCGTACCAATCACTGGGTGTCCGGTGTTTCCCGATAGGGAAAGGATCTATGTTAGGGGATTCCCTGATTAGTAGGTTCCGAAGTTGACTCCAACTAATTGCACGGACCGGACATCATTTGCGCGGGAATTTGTATCCAGCCTTTTGTCAGGGGCTCCAAGAGGAGCTGACAAACAATATTGGCAGTCTGCTGTTGGCTGCGAAAGAACAAAAACACAAGTGGAGGCGGACCCCAAAGTTCTCACACAAACCAGAGGGAGAGCCGCATTAGCCCATGTTGGGGAACAATTGGCCATGAAATTCAAGAATGAACCACCTCAAAAAAAGTGGTGGACATAAATCCCTACCTAAATGGTGTCTATCAAAGGATCCCCTTTTTAAGATTCACCTCCGGGTCATGCGGCCATGTTCGGGTGACTTCCCAAACCAGCGGCCAGAGGTCCTTGCGCGGTACGGCATCACCTCTTTGCGCATGGGTGAGTTTAGTGGTGATGTTTGGAGGGTAAACAAATCCGGAACCCCCTGTGATTTGTGGGATTCCTTATACTTGCCCTTCATGACGTATGGATAAAATATCCAGACGGCTTGTTTTCGCTATCATCTTTCCAAGCCGATAGCAACCCACACGCCTGTCCAATCCTTTTGGGTTACCATTTGGGTTTATTTGGAGGGTTATCAATACTGTTGTTGGGTCTATTGAATTCCCGCTTCGAATTAGTTAGTTTTCCACACGGCGGAACAGGGCCTCCCGCAGAAACATTCATCCTTATCCTAAGACTTCACCTGTCTCGCACAGGGGCCGAGCGGGAACCCGCTTGATGAACACGACATCTTAAGGGAGTGCTTCACTTGGGGTGGACACCCCCTACTCTGGCAGCTTGAATCTGGGACAAACAAGTGGAGTCCTGAAAAATCAGAGACCTGATGGAAACCCTTACCCGGCAAGACCCTGCCAACAGGCGAAGCAAGCGGACCCACTCTTGACTGGTGGTTGTTGGGAACCAGGAATACGGCTTCGGTTGAGAATTGAACAGCTATATACTCAGCGACCTCGCAAGTGCTTGCGACCCGTCATGATTCCAGGCTTTCTGTATATCGTGGGGTGATACTGTGGGTGGACGAAATCCTGCACCACTTTGAAACCACGGGAAACCATGGTATGTTGGTATTTACAGGGGAATCCTCATTCTAGAGTTTCTTGGGCGGTGCAGGATTTCGTCCATCCACAGTATTGATGGTGCACTCGTGGGAGGTTTTTGTTGGGTTGGTTGTTGGCTTCTTCGCCTCGAGAAAGGCGCGCCTCGCGCGTCCTCGCGCCTCGCGCGTCGAGGCCGGAGCGAGGGGTCAAGTCTCTGCTGCGCAGCGCCTTGCGCCCGGGACTCGGTTGCTGTGGCGGCGAGGTTTCGTTTCGTTCCCTGAAATCGAAGGAAGGCCTAAAGCCCTAAAACGCGTAACCCGGTTGCCAAGTGGTGGCCTCTTTCTCCTTTTGTTTGGGAAGGGTTCCCCTTTAAAGGCAACCAACCACAAAAGATGTATTTTTTTCCATGGCCACCGGGCATCTGAGCAAGGAAACTCTGGGGAACCGTAAGGACACCCAGGATGATAGGATGAGTCAAGCAGTTTTCAAGGATCAGTGGGGCTCTAGGAGTTCATCCTCAACGGCCGCAAGTCAGGGGAACCCAGGCTCCATAACCTTCAGTGAGAGGGGCTTCCGTTCAAAGTGAGACGATCAGTTGTGCTCCTTCCCATTTGCTGCAGATCTTTGATTGTCAGAATGGCACGGCCTGACTGGTTCTCACCCACCAACTAACGTGGAAGGATGGAAGGAGCCGACTGACTTCGGAGGAAAGGACTGGACTTCGCGGGAAGCGGACAGAGAGTTGGCAACTGTGAGGAATCTCCTGAGCCTCTGTCCAGGGTCCGTGATGAAACAGCAGCGGAGTGTGTTCTTCCGGTTTACCCTGTGAGGTGCTGTCCGAAAAAGACTCCTTTTGGTTTCTGTATGCCAGTCTTTTCCCAAGATTGGCAAGATCACCACACGTGGCTGCGTGCTAGTCCAAATGCATCCAGCAGCCACGGCGGCATACCCGACTCGTACATTTCCCGAATGTGGATGCAAGGAGAACCATGCGCGGAGGAGGGGCATGTTCTAGGCGTTTTTCCACTGTCGGTCCGTGCTATTTTCTCGACTGCCGCTTTGCCGCTAAGGCTTAGCTATCCAAACGTGAGCCAAAACTGAGAGGCTCCGACGTTTGGGGAATCCGAAGTTGTACAAAGTAGCCGCTTCGGCTCTCCCAAGGAGAGTCCGAATCGCAAGGAGGCTCTGCGAAACTGATGCTTTCAGCGCGGGCTGGAGGGAAGCTGCCCGGAATGGCGTTGCACTCATGCGCGCCGAAAAGAAGCGAAGCGCGAAAAGCTTGGGGTGGGGGGGTGGCCTTTCAGCCTATTTGGGCCCGACTTGCAGGCAGGGTGGAAGTTGTTGGAAGGCGCTCTTTGACATCCCATTCTTTTCTTGAAAGTTGCGGGGCTCTTTTTGCGGCCTTTGATATTCGCTAAGCGTAAGGAGGCTGTTTTTGTCCCTCAAAAGAAGGCCTTTCGGGGGGAGGCTTCTGTCAAAAGAAGGCTGTTCACCCTCATTTTCCCCCTCCCCACGCTTTTGCGAGCCCAGGAGGGGACTTGTCCCTTCGAAGCGGGGCCCCACGCAGGTCTTCCAGCAGGGAGGCGTCGAGTGGGTGAAGCTGGCGAGGGGCGCCTGTGCCTTGCGAAGCAACGGCGCAGAGGCACTGGGGGAGGTGGGGGGTGGGTGGGGTGGGGTTGGGGGTGGGTGGGTGGGGTTGGGGGGGGGGGTGGTTAGATTGACTCTTGGGGGAAAAACGTTCTGAGAATGTCCGACTCGTTTTGAGACGCAAAGGTCTCATGATTTAATGTTTTGCCCTAGGAGAGGTATCTAAATTGCCACATCTGCTCGCTCCGTGTGGGTGCCGGGGCGCTCCAAACCTCAAGGCAATAAGCAAAGCCCCATGAATGTGTCTTTGTTTAAGGAATCGGACTCCTCAAAATGGCTTCGGTGTTCCTTTTAGTCTTTTAGTCCTTTAAAAACTACCCAAACAGGGTAGAGCCTCAACAAAAAGACGAGCCTTGCCCTTTCAACGCTGCTGTTTGGGGAAAAAATGCCGGCGGTGACATGGCCCTTGCGACGGCCACTGAATTCACTTGCGACCAAAGCGAAGCAACCCGCTCTGGCATTTTAGTTTCCAATAATCGGTTTTTCAGTTCGGGTCCCGAAAGGTTAATCTTTCATTTTCCAGTTTCTTTGGGCAGGCGAGGTGGGGTTCAGGCACATCCGAGAGCGAGCTACTCATCCAGCTGAGCGCGAGAAGGGCAAGACGCCAACTTAGCACTTGGCTTTCTGGAAAAGCTGCTCAAAACTGGGGTGCCGGACTTCGCGTAGGTCGGGGGGTCCTTATAGCCGACACTGGCCTTCCAAACAAAATTGAGACCTGTCCTCCGACCCTATCTCTCTTTGCACCCAATCTGGTCGTTTTGGAAACCATGGGATCGTTTTGGCCCCCTGATGCCAAGCTGATCTCGGCTAGGTGCCGCTGGATTTGCGAGAGGAGGGTTTCATTGCTACGGCCGGATCCTCTGTTCTTTCTTGGCACACGGTCGAAGCGTGAACTCGTCTTTTTGGGGAACCGGTGCTTAGCCCAAGCTTTGTCTGTGAAATTTTTGGAGGATCAACTCAGGGCCTGTTGAACCACTTGTTTGGTCTAGCCAGCCCTACCTGGTGAAGTGGGCAAAAGGAGGTTGTGGTAAACCAAGCGGGTACAGTCACAATTGTTCGAAAGTGAATTGGACCCACTCCACCTGTCTTTGATGCTGATGCTTTTCTATGATTCTATCGCCCAAGGGGAAACGGCGCTTATATATATATATACCCCTTTTACACAGCAGCGGCTATATAGTGGTTGTATAAGATGTTCACTCCCGCGAATTTGTCTGTAATGATCCACCCGGTCTCAATTGTGTTTGTGGGGTACTTTGGCTTTAACGCCAAGTTAGCCCAGCAACCCGTGTTCATTTGCATCCGCACAGATAAAAATGGCACGCAAACAGAGGCACCCCCCTAAACTCCGGGGGTGTCCTTGTTTATTTGCCGGGAAGCAACCCCTCCTCTTGCGAGGGAATGCTCCGTCATGCTCCGTTCCCAGGGTTGGTTGCAAAATGAGCTTTAACAACAAGACCCCTGCTCCCCTAGGGGCAGCCAAGAGCATGTTGAAGCCACATGTTTTTTGAGTACCGGGCTTTTCAGGTTGGTTTGAAAGGGGAGTAAAAGGAATGGCTGACCCTATTTCGAGACAACCCATATGTCTTCAAAGTCAGGGGGTTGGATCACCCTGCTTGGTCTTCAGACGAGGATCAGGCGCAGTTTTCTGGCTACTTCGAGCTTCTTGAACACGAGTAAGTGAAGGCAGACGATCCCAAGGTGCAGATCTCCCCCAGTCTTGACTGCTTTGGGTTGGATCTTTGGACTTTAGCTTTGTGGGAAATCAAGGCGTATTCCACTGAACCCACAACAAGTTAAACTTTTTGCAGGGGGGTCAACAGCAACCAAGCAGTTTGGGACCCTTGAAAACAGCCGTGGGCCTCGGGGCCGCACACGTCCTTTCGTGAGTTCAGGTGGTGCCGCCCTCCAACACGCAGCTCAGGAGGGCGGAGGCTGGAAGCTGAGAGGATTCGTCAAAGGAAGTCGTCTGAAAATGACTTCCCATGAGTATGGTCCGGAAAAATCCGAAGTCGTCTGAAGCAGTGCTGTGGGAATGAGCTGCGGGATCTTTAGCCAATGTGATCGGCCGTTTCAGACTCGAGTGAAGAATTCGTGCCGATGTCCCACGCCTGCAATTCCCGCAGCCCGGATCTGAACTTAACTTTGCTCCGGATGACTGGCGCCTGCAAGCCGAAATGGAACCCAGGCGATGGTTTTGGGGGGGTCCCGTGTCAGTCGGGGAATCAAGTTCACAAAGCGAGGGAGTACTTGACAACATTTGACAACCCTGGCAATTCGCATTCCTTTGGGCCACCAAAAACCGGTCTGCTTCCTTTGGTCTCGCCGACTTTGAGGGTACCTTGACTTAAAGGGCAGCCAAAAAAACGTGGGCCCCGCCGCCATTTTGAGCCATACCCATGGTCCCCCAGCGAATTTTGGTCCCCAATCTTGATAGCCATGCCCCATTTGTTTGCCATATCCGGCCGAGGAAAGTACCGCCATGCCGGAGCAAATGCTGTCAAAGAAGGAGATCAGCGAGGCGCGGGGCGGGGCGGGGCCTCGTCCATGTTCTGGCAGGCTGGACCTTTGGCCGAATAGAAAGAATCGAGCTAGTGTGTCTTTTTTTCGAGGGTCGGGAAACCAAAGGGAAAGCAGCCTTTTTGGCCGTTTCCCATTTTAAGATAGACCCAGTGGGCGTTTCTGATTTCCAGCCTCAGGCGATGGTTGGGAGGTCCGCTTTGCTGGCGCATGTTGCCGCGTGTCTTTGAAAAAAATGCTTGGCTGGCAAGCCAGGCTCCGCTCACTTTTTTTCCCCAGTTGGATGCGGGGTGACCAGCAAGGGCCTTTATGCAGGGAGTAATTGGAAAGAGGAGTCAGAGGTGTTGATTGTATTTTTGACAGCTTTGCGATGATTGCATTTGTTTGGGCCGCGAGTGGTTTCTTCACAAAGTGCAAAATGGAACTCCAACTGGCAAGGGGTACATGCTGGTTTCGCCTCCAACAGCCTAGGGTTGGGCCAAACTTTCCTTTGGCTTCCGTTCTGAAGTGTAGGTGTCAGTGGTTTTTTTCTGCCCGGGTTTGCCCAACAAACACTGGTCCCAACTCGTCTTGTGACACGGAGACTCCGGAAGCTCAAACACATTCCCAAGAAACCGAGCTTCCAATGTTTGCTTCGCTCAGCCTTTGAGCAACCTTGTTGAGAGTTGCCAACCAACATGCCCCTGAACGACCCTCAGTACAAAGTGCCGTCCTGTCCCACCCAATTTCCAAGAAGATGGGAAGAACAACGGGTGCTGGTCTGGTTCCACGTAGGTGTGTGGGTATCATGACTGCTCTCACCGGATGGCTGCCGAATTATCAAGATGTTGCCTCTACGGCGCAACTGATGTGCCGTGCCTGTTTATGGGCATTGAGAAGATGTGCACTTGGCGTGAAACGGACAATGGCTATAAGAAGCACATTCCAATCGGTTTGACTTCATGAAGGACCAGCCGTTGCAGATTGCACCAAGCTTTCTCTTCCCTTACATGGGATGTGATTGTGCGCTTCCTGTTTGTTAGGGCTTCCTTCCAAACCGGTACTGTTGACAATATAAAAAAAGATCAGCACGGCATGGGACTTCCGCCCATTCGGACCCCTCGGTGCTTGGTGAACTTCGGGGTCCGCGGGAAGCCCAGCACTTGCAAGGGATCCTGCTGGCTAGGTGGACTTGCTGGTTTCTCTGAGCCATTTGCCAGATGACCAAACCGTAAAGGAGCGGTGATCGTTTTTTTTTTTTGTCTGGGCTTGGCTTTAGGGCCAACCTTCTGGCCTCAAAATGGTCTTTGGAGCAACCCTGTCGGACTCGAGCGTTGGGACCGGATGGCACACTGCCCCCGCGGAAAGAGCAACCCTGTCGGATGACTGGGGGTAGTGTTTCAGCACCGACCACAGTTTTTTTTGGTTGACTCCCCATTGTCTTCACCCACCGTTCTCTTCAGAACCTGACCATTTTTCCCAGGGGTTTGCCTCATGTTTCTAAGAACCGGAGCCCATGAACATGGAAAGGGTACGCTTCCATTTGCTTCAGAACATATTTCGGTTTTCCCTTGTTGGTTGGAAGAGTCTATCACCGGAAATATGGTTCTTTCCAGGGGGCGAACAAGCAAATGGAAGGTACGGCTAGTCAGCTCAGTGGGTAGCCCCTCTCCACCGATCCCCCGAAGGTCCTCGCGCTGAGCTCAGATCCAAGCGGGGAGCTCAGATCCAGATCGCCACTTCTGACTGAGGCTCCAATCAGAATTCGAGCTCAAGAGTACAGCGTGCTCAGAGATCCGCATTATATTATGTATGTACATATATATATATATATACACATACATGTACATATATATATATGTATATATGTATATATATATGCATATATACATATCTCTTTCAGTCATCAACTGTCAGAAGGGGGCTGCGCGCTTCTCTGTTTGTTGGTAGAACTGTATTCTCAAGTCCCAACCCGAACATGTTGGCCAACTCTTGGTTTATCCCACGTGTTTTTTCCGGTTTTGTTTCAGGGTCGCTGATCGCCACAAGCTAGAAAGTTGGCTCCTGGGAATAAGGAAACCAAGGAAACTAAACCAATCTTCTATTTCCCACCGGAGTTTGATCATCATTAAGGAGCGGCTCCAGGATCAGAAAGGCGCAGACGAGCTGATCGGAATGGAACATCGGAACGGAAGACTTGGCAAGCATTGTTTTCTGTTGTTTTTGCCAGCAAGAAGACGTTAGCTTTTTGCAGGTCGGATCAGTCTTCAGCCAATTGAAATGGCCAGGCTGCTGCTTTACAGTCGCGCATTTTTTTTAAATACGGGCATCAGACCGTCAGGATTTTCCGACATCCTCACGCTTCCACCGTTCGTTCAATTCAGGGACCTCCAATCGGGTTGCCTGCTCGGAAATGCAGCACCCCACCAGCAAGTAGCTGGTGACGGGTGAACTGGTCTTACCTAATCCAAGCGGCTGGTTGTTTGGGATCACATGTTGAGCAGAGTAGCCGCTGAGGTCTGCAGCTTCCGCTGGAGGCCAAGTACTGGACACGACAGCAGCTGGAGATGCGCGGCTCCCCAAAGGGGAACGAGAGCGGCAACTTAATGTCATGTCTTGGTTGACCTTGTTTCGCTGGTTTTCCTTCTTGTTTCCCTCGTATATTGTGCCCCTTGTTTTTTTTTGTTGTCCTCCTCTTTCCCTCGCCTGTCTTGTTGTGTCCCTTGTTTCGCTTGTTGTCCTCCTTTTTTCCCTCGTATGCCTTGTTGTTTCCCTTGTTTCGCTTGTTTCCTCCTAGTTTCCCTTATTTCTTCTTGTTTTGCTGGTTTTCCTCCTAGCTTCCCTCATATTTCTTGTTGTTCCCCTTGTTTCGCTTGTTGTCCTCTTTTTTTTCCCCCGCCTGTCTTGTTGTTTCCCTTGTTTCGCTTGTTGTCCTCCTTTTTTCCCTCGTATGTCTTGTTGTTTCCCTTGTTTCGCTTGTTTCCTCCTAGTTTCCCTTATTTCTTCTTGTTTCGCTGGTTTTCCTCCTAGCTTCCCTCATATTTCTTGTTGTTCCCCTTGTTTCGCTTGTTGTCCTCTTTTTTTTTCCCTCGCCTGTCTTGTTGTTTCCCTTGTTTCGCTTGTTGTCCTCCTTTTTTCCCTCGTATGTCTTGTTGTTTCCCTTGTTTCGCTTGTTTCCTCCTAGTTTCCCTTATTTCTTCTTGTTTCGCTGGTTTTCGTCCTAGCTTCCCTCATATTTCTTGTTGTTCCCCTTGTTTCGCTTGTTGTCCTCTCTTTTTTTCCCTCGCCTGTCTTGTTGTTCCCTTGTTTCGCTTGTTGTCCTCCTTTTTTCCCTCGTATGTCTTGTTGTTTCCCTTGTTTCGCTTGTTTCCTCCTAGTTTCCCTTATTTCTTCTTGTTCGCTGGTTTTCGTCCTAGCGTCCCTCATATTTCTTGTTGTTCCCCTTGTTTCGCTTGTTGTCCTCTTTTTTTCCCTCGCCTGTCTTGTTGTTTCCCTTGTTTCGCTTGTTGTCCTTCTTTTGTTCCTCATATGTGTTGTTTCGCTTGTTTCGCTTGTTTCCGGGAAACAACAAGACACACGAGGGAAACATGGAGAAAAGCAAGCGAAACAAGGGAAACAACAAGACATACGAGGGAAACAAGAAGGAAACAAGCAAAACAAGGGAAACAACAAGACATACGAGGGAAACAAGGACCACAACAAGCGAAACAAGGGACACAACAAGAAATACGTGGAAAAAAACAGAGGACAACAAGCGAAACAGGGGAAACAACAAGACACACGGGAAAAAAGGAGGACAACAAGCGAAACAAGTGGAACAACAAGAAATATGAGGGAAAAAAGAGGACAACAAGCGAAACAAGGGAAGCAACAAAATATGCGAGGGAAAAAAGGAGGACAACAAGCGAAACAGGGGAACAACAAGACATACGAGGGAAACAAGGAGGAAAACGAGCGAAACAAGGGGAACAACAAGAAACACGAGGGAAACAGGGAGGAAAACAAGCAAGTCAAGGAAAACAACAAGACGTACGAGGGAAACTAGGAGGAAAACAAGCAAACAAGAAATACGAGGGAAGCTAGGAGGAAAACCAGCGAAGGAAAGTTGTTTCCCTTGTTTCGCTTGCTTCCTCCTTGTTTCCCTCGTATGTCTTGTTGTTTCCCTTGTTCCGCTTGGTTTCCTCCTTGTTTCTCTCGTATTCCTTGTTTTGTTTCGCTTGGCTTCCTTGTTGTTTCCCGCGTATTTCTTGTTGTTTCCCCTGTTTCGCTTGTTTTTCTTCCTTCTTCCGCCCGACGCCTTCTTTCATGACGCGCACGAGACGAAGCAAAGCTGCATACGATTTGCGCTAGCAAATTTCTTTTCCTAGACGGAAGCTGGCGGTTTAGCTGTTCGTCCAGCCTGATGCATCACACCATATCACGCCCCAAACCAGCACGCGCCTGATGAGCTGCAATAGCGAGCTGATTGTCAGCCAGGAGCAGCGCACGATGCAGCTCATTACATCTTAGCCCGGAATGGCTGGAGCAGCCAGAGCGGCTGGAACAGCCAAGAATGGCAGTCGGGCGACTGTCTCTTGAGGCCAGGTCCCGGTATTTGACATTGACGCTTTGTTGCCTTACAACATGAATGAAGACCTCAGGACTCGGGAGCAGGCTCAGCTGCAATGTTTTGACCCAGGCATTTGGGAGCAAGATCGGCTTGCGGGAAATGCTTCATGGGCAAGCTACTCAACGGCGCGGCTGAAACAGCCTGGTGGCAGGGCCACTCTGACAGAGGAGGTGAGCGCATGCGCAAGGCCTCCCTGGAACCACTGAAGAGATTCAACCCGTGGTTTTTCACTCACCGCGCTGAGCAAGGCTTGGCGCAGATCAGCGTGGACCAGCGCAGGGAAGTCGGCTGGTTCCTCGAGGTCCTTGGAGGCCAGCTGAGCAGTGATGTGGCGCCTCAGGTTGCCAAGAAAGAGAGAAAGGCGTCAATGGCCTTCAAGCGGAAGCCGTTTTGTACAAGGTTTCAGGAGGACCTACAATTGCACCGCCAAGAGACCCCAAACATTTCGGGGGGCCGCGTGAAAATAGAAAAGCGAATGTTTGCGAGTTTCTGTGTGGAAGGATCTTTGCAGGGTCTGTGGATAGGGTCTCTCTTGATAGGATCTCTTGGCAAGATCTGCGGCTGGGGGCCCGACATGTAATATTGCCAAGACGTAGCTTCACATTGCTAGAATAGTCTCGTGTAGCCCATTCTGAATCGTGGTGCCTAGTGTAGTATTGCCCAGTGACTTGATCTCCGATTCGCAGTGCTTAATTTGGTACTGCAAATTCTTAACTTCCTATTGCCAAGATCTACACTCGCATCACAGATCTTAAATACACACCTTTTTGAAAGTAAAGGCCAGTCATTGATCTTAAACACCCCCACCCCCAAGGCGTACCAGGGGCTCTTGCGGGCGTCCCCATTCGCCTGACTGCTTGGCCTTGCTTTTTTTGAAGCTGCAGTTAGTTATATGGAAGCTGATGGTTTGTGGACCACTTGCAAAACAGGAAGTCCTAGATCCAAGGCCTTTAGCCTCTAAGCTGGGCAGCGCTTAGATCAGCCATCCTTGGATGGAGGAAAGTTGAGCCCTTGATCAAAATGTTTCTTTTGCCCGGATTTTCTTTCGGGAAAAGCTTTCGACTTACGCAAACCCCGACACAGATTCTGAGTAAGACAAAGCTTCAAAGCGGCCAAAGTTATTGAAGGAGGCACCACGCTAGCCTTGAAGGCCTGCCGTTGCCACCGCCACATCTATCCGCATTTGCAGCACATCTCGCTTGTTTCCTCCTTGATTATTTTTTTGTGTTCCTCCTTGTTTGTCTTGTTGTTTCCCTTGCTGTTTCCCTTTATGTTCGTCCCTTCTTGATTCCCTTGTTGTTTCCTCCTTGTTCCATTTTGAGTTTCCCTTGTTTGACGCCTTTCTTGTCCTCCACCCATGTCAGATCCCTCCCTCATTTGTTCTAGTGACGTTTCTTTTCTGCAAGTTGCAAAACAAAGCAGGGAATCTTGGTGGTGTCCCAACAGACCGATGGCAGAAACAGGATGGGGAAGCAACGTAGAAAAACCAATAGCAGGACAGCCACCAGTGGGTTTTGAAGGAACATCAATCCTTTTTTGCGCCCGTTGGTTTCCCAACAAGGCGAGCGTCTTGCTTTGAGGCTACCCATTAGGGGTGGGCAGGAAAAATGTAGGGGAAATGCAGGGAGCCATCCAAGAAAACACACGGCGCCCAGTTCCGCAGATGTGGGTGCGCAGCCCTCCCAATTGCAAAGAAAGCACGCGTGGTTTCTACGTTGGGCTTCCCCACAACGCGCACCAATTCCAAATAGACCATGTGTGCCATGGTCAGAAGACCCCTTGAATTTGGCCTAAGGGGGCCATGGCCAAAGCCCAATACCTATAAACTCATCCAAAAGGCGAACATTTCATCGAAGGGGAGGGGGTTGTGGCGGCGTTTTTCAATGGCGTTTTTGCGGTTGGTGTGCATTTTGGCTGACATGCTGCTTCGCAAGATCCGCGCACCCCGGACACGGGTTGGTGCGTCCCAACGGCGGAAACGTGCGTCCCAACGGCGGAACTCGAGCCCAAACATCGCAAGCGCTTTCTTGATGAAATTCTTCACATAATCTTCACCAGGGAAGGATCCGGATGTCAATGTAACAAAGCCGCCTTGCAAGGGGGCGAACGTCTTTTTTGTGTTGCGTTCAGCTCTTCATGATGCTGCCTTCTGAGACTGCTTTGCGCCAAGGCCCTGAACTGATTTGGATCAGTTAGGGGCCAATAGCGTTTCTTGCAGAACCGTCCAAAATTACGACGGCGTTTTCAGGTATATATCGGGATTTTGACCAGTCAGGTTCGTGATGAGCGGGGGCGTGCTGCGGCCGAAGAACTGCTCCATGCCGGACGAGCGGCTCCTGGCCCGAGTCCCCAGAAACCTGTTTGGGAGCCTCTTTCTTGGCCAACCAAACAGTCCAGCCACTCAAAATTCACTGAGTCTAAGACAATGGTGAAATGGTGGGGGGCTCTCCTTTGAACCCCCAACATGGTTTCGGTGCTCCGCGGGGTATCCTCAAACGAAGGCACTTAAAAGGGTTCCCTTATGGTTGGTGCCCTGGCCACGTGGCAAGGAGGTTGAACCAACTTTGGTTACAACCGCGTTATTTTAGACCATTGAAGGCCCGACTTTTGGGCCCGGCCTTTTTCAGCACCACAAAGGGACCCAGAGATCCTGTGTTCGGCGGTTTTGGGCACCTAAAAGATTCCACGGCACGGATATTCCACAAGAGGACGGATATATGGGTGTGTTTTTCTGTTTGAGGATGCGCTGGCCGTTTTTTTTTTAATCGGGAAACCAACAGAAACCCCACCCATGAGGGATCCAGCTTTCAGAGACAAACCCAAGTGTGTCAAAACTGTGCCTGGCAACCGAGTCCCTCCAATGCTATGAGGCCAACGCCTCGATGAGCAAGGAGGAGATTGTGCACTCCCTGGCCCAGGTGCGATGCCCAAACCGACGTGGTTTGCTTCCGGCTGGGTGTGCTCTGAGGATCCCAGGAACTGATTTGCATTTGAAGCACACAACCGGAAGGGGAGGTTCGACCGGTTTTTGGGACCGCATGAAAGGCCGCCGAGTGGATTGCTAGCGCCGACGCGCTGCTCATTGGCAGCGGGGCGCGGGGGCTGAGAGACCATTGTTTGGCGGAGGTTGTTCTAAGTTGTCATTTTTAGCAAAGTCTATCTACCCTCCCCAGATCACGAGTCCAAAGAGGTCCAGAGGGCGGATCTGTGACGAAATCGACTTTCCTCACTCGAGTTCCCGGACTTTAAAGACTTTCAGGGCTAGTAACAGGGTCGTGGGATCACTCTTCTCCAACCACTTCTGTACAAGGGAATCCTTCTTTATATGAACAAAGTAGTCTTTGGGAAGCCCTTGCATCATAGAAGTGGTCATTCTGCGATGCGCCCAAGATCCAATCGCACTGCAGCTGATGTTCACTTTTGAACAGGCGCACACAAGTGAGGTGGTCCTTACCACCGGAATGCCATGCTCGCTGAGCACACTACTACCTTGGCAAAAGGGGCCCCTCCGGAGCCGATACATCACAGGTCCCATGCATTGTGGAACTGCTCAAAGGGCCAGGTGTCAAGTGGCCATGCATACATGTGTTCATGACTGTGGTCATCAACTGATCTTTCAAATTGCACAGATACAAAACTCCCTTCAGTTGATGACCGCTCTCAAAGTCCTCGATGGTCTTCACAGCAGACCGGCCTTGTTCATGACTCCGGCGGGCTGACGTAAAGCTCTTGTCGTAGGCGATTGCCCAAAGACCAGTGGAAAGGTACTTCCGAAGTCCTAACCGGCAGTCTTGCTTCTTCTTGGTGAAGGCATCGCCTAGGTCATAGTCGCTGGCAACCCAGCGTAACTCGGCGAGAGTCCTGTGCAATGACTCTCTCAACTGCAGAGCTTGAAGAGCGGACCTGGCGTTGCTGAGGCCCAACATCGGAGACTCATTGTACATCACGGCGTCAAAGCCGCCCTTGGGATCTGTAGCCAGGATGCCTTGACATTGCGCGAGAGCCTTTCGGCCCATGCTACTCGATCTTCTTCAGGACGAAGATCTTGACCTGCTCCATTCATCTCGCTCCGATCCGAAAGTTTTGATCCTTGCCTTCCAGAACTGCTTGAACTTCAGCATCGTTGGGGCTGATGGCTTTCCTTCTCACACTCCAGCTGCGCCAGCAGAGTGGCGCCATGAAGGTGACCTTGCCCTCGACGGCTTGCTGTCCAGATGCGGTGGACAGCAGTCCTCCAGTGGAGTCGAGGTTCTCACGATTGGCGTGTGCCTGGTCGCAGAAGGTGATGAAAACCAGGTCTCTCCAGCGAGTAGTACTGCTTGCGGACTTCACCAATCATTTGTTGCAGTTCACGAGCAACTTGCATGTTGCGCTTGGTGGTGATCTCCGAGGCGATGAGGTTGCATCGGGCACATAGCTGTGGTTGTGTCTGTAGCGCTAGCCATTGCAGACTGCCCCAGGTGGCGCGACATGCGGCTATTTCTTCTGCGGTGAGTTGTGCCTGTTCTTGACGAAGACGATCAGGAGCGATGTGCACATCGATGAGCGTCTCGATGTAGTGGTCTTGATTTACCTGAACTTCGACTCGCCCTTGACCATCTATTGTTGTGGTGAGGTCGGTACCAGCGTGCCTGTAGTTGCCACGCTTCGCAGTACCCCACTCATAGAGGTTGTCGATGAGTCGACAGATTTCCAGCCACTCATCGGAGTTGCGGTCACCACAGCGATGAAAGTCATCTACGTGACCGCCCATCATGCCCAAAGTGCGACAGACGTTGTGCTCGTCTTGGTCAACTTTAGACTGCCAGATCCAAATACACCTTTCTCCCACAAGTGGTTTGCCGCCGATGGACGAGAGGCGACGATGTAGGTCTAGCCATAGCCCACAAGGTGCTGTGGTGCTGCCGTAGATGTTTTTCAGGATCTTTATGATGTCGTTGGGTCCAAGGCCTAGTGCTTCTCGAAGCTCGGAAACACCACGTGTCCCCAGATTCTGGTCGGCCTCGGCGGGTTGTGTTTGCAGGAACGCCGTGGCCAGGTCTAAGCCTTCCAGAGTCCAGTTGTGAGTGCAGGCCATCATGTACAGCAAGTTGCGTCCCAGGCTAGACTGCACACGACTTGCGGTCTTGAACTCTGGCCGGAGGAGGTTGGGATGCTCATAGCCCAAAAGCACAATACGTGCTTTGGCCTTGCGGAGTCCATCCTTGGTGTAGGGGACTTGACGTTGGAGACGGCTTCCTCCTTGGCCTCCTTGATGTCCTCGGGAGGAGTTGGTTTCCAGGTCAACACCCAACGAGCTCGCATGATTCGGCCCTGACCAAAAGCTTCTCGGACTTCTTGGAGTCAGGTTCATAGACGTTGACGTGGCTGCATCGCGTGGTAGTCCAGATGAGGATGTTGCGGGTGCTGACGCTGACCCAGGCTCATTGGTAACATCTTCCACCTCCGGAGTGTCCATGGAAGCGTCGTCAGGCGGTGGAGGTGCCGGTGGCTTCGTTTTCGTCCAGAGCCTCCTCGTAGGTCTAGGTGGTGCTGCTGTTGGGCTGATCAGGGAGATCAGGTTGTTCACGTTCATCAGGGGTCCTGGTTCGACTTGACTGATGTCAATGAACTCTTTCTTCGGCAGGAGGTCCGAGAGAGATCTCCATTTGGAGATGTCTTCTTTGTTGTTGATCTCGAACTGGGTCTGCTCTAGAAAGGTTGTCGGCCGTACAGAGTGAACACTGCAGCGAAGGAGTTGGTTCTGTAGGAGGACCCAAACCACGTGACGGCGTTCGTCAGTGTGATGCTGATGTGGTAGTACTTCATGAAACACCACTCTCCCAGGTCCGATCCAGTGCGGTTTGCGTGACTTCTTGGCGCCGCCGCGCTTGCCCTGGTAGATGTGAAGGCCATTGCTTGCGCCAGACCATCACCAGTTGCATGGGGTGGAAAGTCCGTAAGGGTTGTCTGACAGTGGAGTTGCCGAGCTTGCTCAACACGCGCAGAGCTCTGGTCCGGGCGACTTCTTCAGCAGCTTGTCGACGTTGGACCAATCTGGCAAAGTCATCGGCTGGTGACTCAGGCAGTGAGGCGAAGGTCCGCGTCTCTTCATCGGTGATGACATAGTCCTTACCATAACACCACTGGAAGGAGGAGTAGCCCTTGACATACTCAGTGGAGTTGAGGGCCGTTACCGTGAGATGTAGAGTGATGACGGGGTCCTGCGTTGGACTGCCCAATTGGATGGCGCTGGCAGTCATCTTGACATCTTTCATGGCTGCTTCAATTTGTCCATGGGCCCAGGACTCCTTCTCGGCGGGGGGAGCTAGTTGAACACCGATGTCAGACAAGAAGCTTGACATGTCTCGCGAGGTCAAGGTGATGCCATTGTCGGGGATGACGATCTTCGGCTTGGGCTTGTCGGCTAGCCATCGTGCCGACAACCCACGGATGACACCCGAAGAGTCTTCACTCTGCATCTCCGTGACCGGTTAGCGCTTGATGATGTAGATCGCACGAAGCCGAGTCGCCAGGTCCATGATAAGCATGAACTTGAGCTTGAGGGGGATCACCCACTCACTGACGTCCAGTCCAATGGCTTGCCAGGCGTGGTAGAGCTGATGTGTAGCCACCATCAGGCCGAAGAGCATCACAGGATGCACACTTGAAATTTCGTGCCATCTCTACTTTCCATTCGGGTAGCCGAGCATCTCGCAGGATGTGGACCAGGTTGCGGTTGGTCGGATGGCCGGCTGCACGGTGGTACTTGTTGAGCTTGGCCTCCCATTGGCGTCGTATTGCTGGAGTCACATCTGGATCATCCAGTACCGCTACCGCGGGTGCTGGTGGAGGTAGTACATGAGGCGGTGCAGGCAGTAAAGGTGCAGGAGCTGGTGGTACATGAGGTGCTTCATTGACAGCCATGACATCTGGGCTGACAGCTGATGGATTCGGTTGTTGTTGCGGAGGTCCTCGAAATGTTGGGACGAGGTGTCCGACTGTGGCAGAGCTTGGGATGTAGATGCCAGATTCGGTTCCCGTCCAAGTGGTAGTGCTGGAGGCACTCCATCACGATATGGATTTGCATCGTCGGGTGGCAGTTGTCGACGCACCCAATTAGAGTCCTCATCCTCGAACTCGTTGATGTGGAGGTCATGGCAGGCAGTGACGTACTTGATGTGGCGCAGAGGTACCAATTCCCGAAGCCAGCGGCGAACGATAGACGTCACCATGTTGAGCGGGTAGTAGGCGGTTCGGGCCGTTTCTGCGCCTTCTATTTTTGCATGCTGATGATTGCCGGTGCAGACCTTGGACTTGAAGAGTTGGTGGAACTTCTCATCATTGGTGCGGATGAGCCACTTCTTATGGAGCAACTGAGAGCCGTCCTTGTTGGTCATACCGCAGCGACAGCCGTCCACACGACATGGAAGCCAGTCTTGACCAAGTCGATGTAGACCATCTCGTAGCTGGAGTACAGGCCCTGAACACGGGTGTGTCCACTCCCAGTAGATGTCCAGGTCTGGGTCTGTAGTGAGAGCATCCAGGATGAAGGCTCTTGGCATTGTGCAGAATGCGTCGCTCCTTGCGTCGAGCAGTCTCAAGGACCTCTCTGCGCTCGGGGGTGTTGCAGTTGAGGTTGGCAAACTGGCACCATTTGGTACAAGGCAGTGACAGCCAGATCTTGCGAGGACGCCGTTGTTGTTGTTGTAGAGCTGTCATCTTGACCCAGGTGTCCTTGTGGTAGATGTCGAAGCCGTTCTGGTAGTTGAAGCGATGTGCAGGCAGACCTTGCCGCTGGGCTTCCGAGGTGAGCCATGAGGTCTCAGAGCATGCGACCTCCCAAAGGAAGTCTCGCCCATCCAGTACAAGCTCAGCAGAGCTGGTTACGACGTTGGCGGTCATGAGGGTCATGAGCTGCACCAAATGAAGTCCAGCATGTTGGGGAAGACGTTTTAAAAAAATCTCGCTGTTGATGTCCGACACGGTCTGCTCCTGCGCGGCCTTGCGGCTGAGGATCATGTTCATGAGTTCCATCTTCTCCGCATCGGTGAGGTGTTTCTCGAGATCCTGCACGGCTTGACTTGGGGAGGACGTTGTGGACGAGGTTCCCTTGTTGGAATGTGGGTAGGCCTTGGTCTTCGCCTTGGCCTTGGCAGCTGGCTTCTCCGATTGAGAGGTCTGCTCCCGGGATCGCTTGACCGTCTCGATCAGGTTGAAGAGCTTCTCCTCGGCGTCGATCTTCTCCTGCATGTGGCCAGGCAGATCGCCGCTGAGTCCATGCTCACCTCCCGACTGAAGTCGAAGGGTTGCGGCGTGAACTTGCCCTTGGTGCTGGCCTTGATCTGGCTGATTGTGGACTTCTCGGTCTCCTCGGTCACGTGTGACATCGGAGGCTGCGACATGATCACAGGTGTGAGCTCGCGGATGAGACGCGATGGAGGCAGACGACTTACTTGTCGCGAGCATTTGAGCAGAAGCTCTACGAAGTCGCTCCATCAGATTCCACGTTCGCTCATCAGGTGGCTCATGAGTGAACGTGTCGGCATCATGATCATGACTGTCCAGTTGAAAGTGTACGGGGTGGAACTCAAGCACTTGGGATTCATTGGGAGCTGATTGACGAGGAGGCGTCGCACGAACACGGACATGACCTTGTGTGTTGGAGTTACCCGCAGTCAAGAAATGCCGTATGTCAAACACATAGTGGCCCTTGTGGTTCTTCCGAAGGAGGTACGGCTGTGGACTCCTTTCCAAACCATTGAGGGTCATGCCGGTGGTGAAGTCAAACATCATAGCTGCCCCTTGAGGTCCCAAATCATCCATACCCACCAGAATCGGCACAAGCGTGGGCTTGTTGAAACCGGCCTGATAGAACTCGGAGGGATTCGGGAGTGCAAAGACCTTGAATTGACGTGGGGTTCCAGACAGGTTGCTCCTGAGGGTGACCTGGTACAGGGCTTGTCCCCACTTCCCGTTCTCATAGCGAAAATACGGGCGAGCAGACTGATCAAGTTCGATCACAGCGGCGTGGTCCTGTGCCACAATGGCTTGGATCAGTCCTTTGACTGACGCCTCTGGCCCGGCTGATGCCGTGGCGCCACAATCTACTATACCTTCAAAATCGCCACAGGTGGAAGGAGTGATGAGGGGCTGGCACTCCAAGTTGCTTTCATGCATATCCAGGCCAAGCAGTTCCGAGGCGTAGGAGTTGACAAACTGCCTGGTTGACTGTTGACCATAGCCTTTACCGGTGTGCCATGGACGAGACTTGCCCTTGACGTACATGGCATCGTACCCATCGTCCATGAAGTAGGCAGACTTGCCCTTGCCCTTCTTCCCCTTGTGGCTTTTGCCATACTGACAGAAGTCCTCATAGCACGGGTCCATGAGGACGTTGGATTTGCCCTTGGTCCCCTTGCAGTGTGAAGGATGACGGCGATCAGGACAGTCTCGGGCATAGTGATCACCTCCACAGTTGAAACACTTGATGGTCTTGGACTTGCCCTTACCGAAACCGCGGTCAGGATGGAGTGCTGCCGTGGCTTGCTTGGCTTGTGACCATGTGCGAGTGGCTTCTTGAGCGAGCTGCTCAGCAACCTGCTCGGCTTGAAGGGCTTCCTAAAGTTTGCCGTCCAGCTCGAGATCCGCAGGTGCACTTTGGTCGGTGTGTACGTCACCGTCCCAAGCCATCGCATCTGAAGAGGGCATATCGTCCTCGGCAAACCAATCTTGATGCCAATCAGACTGCCACCAGGCTTCACCGCTGTAACCTGAATTCCAGCTGGACTCGGGGGCGTACGTTCCTGAACATGCGTCAAATGTGCAGGTCCGGATTGATTGTGCCGCTGGCCCATGAACTGATCATCCCAGAGTGTTTGAAGTGCACGGCTGATGGACTCATAGTCCATGCGATTGTGTGTAGTTGCCAGGATGTCCCTCTTCTCGTCGTTGTTGAGCGAGGCGGCCTGTAAGAGCCGCCAACCACGAAGAACACCCATAATGAAACTGTCCGCCAGGCCCATCTCATCGAGCACAGGATCCGAGAATGGTTCAGCAGGCTTGATGGGTGTCGGCGCTGGTGTGAAAGGTCGGTTCTTGCGTGAGGCCGTTGCTGTACGTGTGGGCGAAGCACCTGGTCCTGCATCTCTTGAATCACCGGTGCCTTGATCACCGGACGTGTCAGCGGCAGTTTCATCCGGTTGAGCATCAGGTTCATCGGGATCAACCTGATCCTCGGATACGACCATTCCTGCCAGGGCCAGTCCCGTTCGTCCTCACCGGGAGGAATGCCGAAGTCCTTGTTTTCCTGACGAATACCTTGCCGCTCCTTGTAGAGCCTGAGGAGTGCCCGGCATACCCCAAGGTCTCGCGGATGAGGAACGAACTCATGCTCTCTTGCTGGAGCCGCCGAAATGCAAAATACTGTGCACAGATCGCGGCCGTGTTTGGTAGGCTCTGTCTGACCAAGGGTGAACCTGCTAGTCGGCGAAGCAGATCTCGGGTACCATGATGACTGTCGAAGCAAGCGAGAGGCCAGCTCATTGCAAGCAATCTCGCTGGACCAGACAACCGTCCTACGAGCTTCGTTGCGCAGTAGCGTCGCTTGTGGGTGGGAACCCACCAGGCTACTTCCCTGGTGTACTTCCGCCATGTCCTCGCCTGACCATCCCAACTAGGGACGTGTCCACTGTCCCGGTCCGCCATGGAGACGATGATGCGGCTCAACTGTCGCTCTCAACTTTGCTAAGCAAGGGAGTGACGGTGAGCGGGTTCTCCAGGCAGGCGTGGTGGAAAAAGGTGTTGCTGCTGTTGCAGAAAAAGAAAAACTGTACTGTCACCACTGTAGGCAACTGTTGGAGTCAAAGGCGAAGGCGTAGCGGCAGAAGCCTGTGTCCCTGGCCGTGTCCTGCTCCGCTACCAATGCGATGCACCCAAGATCCAATCGCACTGCAGCTGATGTTCACTTTTGAACAGGCGCACACAAGTGAGGTGGTCCTTACCACCGGAATGCCATGCTCGCTGAGCACACTACTACCTTGGCAAAAGGGGCCCTCCGGAGCCGATACATCACAGGTCCCATGCATTGTGGAACTGCTCAAAGGGCCAGGTGTCAAGTGGCCATGCACACATGTGTTCATGACTGTGGTCATCAACTGATCTTGCAGAATTGCACATTCCCCACAGCCCTGGCTAGTAAAGAATCAGTTGGACCTTTTTAGGGCTCCAGTTCCTGGACTCGAGTTGCTGGACCGTTTATCCATGTCTTTACTTTCTAGGTTTGGGGTGCGTGTGCCACCTGCGCATAAGATATTCCGCCATGCTGAATCCAGCTGGCCGGATTGGGTAACAATTGTTCCAACATGCGAAGCTGGCCTGATACACAAGAGCCTGGTTTGGTTTTGCAACGCTGGTCCCTGGCATGTTTTTTTTGGGGGTTGTTTCAACAGCATGTGGTGGTTTAAGCATGTGGCAAAAGGACCACTCCGCATCAAAACAACACCCGGCTCTATTCCTGTCGTGCACCAACCACTGGTCATTGTGAGCAGAGGCTAGATTCTTAGCATTGTTTTAAGTATTCGCTGTAATTATGCAACCACTGTGTCTTAAATTGTTGGAAACACTATTCTCAAAATAGGGGTCCCTTTGTTGGGTTTCCTTTGGTTTCCCTTCTAGCAAGCAAAACGTGGGTCCACAATTTTGCGAAGCCTCAAACAATTGTCGTATCTATGGCCCCCGGAAGAACCCCTGCCCTCAGCTTTTCCAAACTCTACAAGGCAAGGTGTTTGGAGTCTTGCTAGGTCGGGAGTGCCTTTTTATGTTTGTTTGGGGGAGGGTTCCCCTACTAGAATGTCTAACCTCTCTACTGGAGGACCTAGTTTGGAAACGAGGGGATGGGCATGTACCAGGGATCGACACGCAGACTGGAGGAGGTGTTCACGCTGCCAGTTCTCATACTAATCAAGCGGCTTCTTGCGGGGTAAAAAGAGGGTCGTGACTGAAGCTCCAATAGATGCCACGTTAGTCTGAGGGAGTGTACCCTCAACGAAAACAGCAACTCGGGTGAAGGAAAACAGGATTTTACACACAGTGTTTGGGGGGAGTTGCACCCTAGTCACCAGAGTAGGCAGGCCGCAATGGCATAGCATCAGCCTGCCGAAGCTGAGTCCGAAATGCCACTTGGGATCCAGCTGAGTCAAGCAGTACTATGGTCGATTTGGGAGGGACATGGGGACTTTCCACCCTAATTTGTCCATGCCGATATATGCTGGACCCGTACCCTCCTCGAGATGAACATGGATCCTACACAACCTACATTGAGTCTTTTCTGCCCCGCAGCCCTGATTTTCCCACGCCCCAATAGGTATGTCTCAACATAGGGCGGTGCCCAAAGCTTTCTTGTGTTTCTCTTGAAGTTCCTTCAAAACCTTTCAAACAAGAAAAGGGGCACTCTCAAAAAAGGACCGCTATGTTTTTTTTTAACCAAGAAAAGGGGCACTCTCAAGAGACCGCTATGGTTACCATGGTTTGGGTGACTCATTCAGCTCGAGAAAGAGCCACCGAGGCTGGCATGGGCGTGGACGCCGGCCTGGGCACCTTCCGGGGCGGCAAGAAAGGCCGAAGTCTTCGGGCCGCGAGTCGTGCGTCGGGTTAGCGGGCCGAAGGGAACCAAACAAACCGCGGAAGCCAAACAAAAAACCGCGGATTGAAGCCCCGAGGGTACGGACCCTTCACTGAATTGAGTCAATGGATGTTGAAGTGTCAAGACTCATTCAGCAGTGTTTTTCGGTTTCGGGCTGGACAGTGAGGATCCGACGCTTGGTCCCTTTTGCAGGTTAGTTTCAAGGGAAGCCAGCTGCAAAACCCGCCATGCTTGGGGTCCTCACCTTTGACACTTATTTATTGCACTGGTCAACTTGTTTTTTTCCCGGTAAAACGGTCGTTGCTTTGTGCACTTTGTTTTTTTTTTAATCATTATTCCCCAACAGCTGAAAACTTTGGGGTCTCAGCCCAGATAGGCTCCGGGGTAGTCCGGGGCGCCCATGAAATAAGGTTCCACGAGGGTTCCACCAGGGTTCCACCAGGGTTCCACCAGGGTTCCACCAGCGTTCCACCAGGGTTCCACCAGGGTTCCACGAGGCGAGGTTCTGGAGGGTTCTGGGAGGGTGGGGTGCTGTTGGGGATATCGCCTGAGCTTATTTTTCCCTTCCTGAGTTTCTTGGGGGCAAACCAAGACCTCAAAACGCCCGCCGCACGCCGCCGCCGGGTCCGCTTCAGGTGTTTGGGACGGGCTGGAGGCGGTGGGTTTGGCCTATGAGGAGATCTGCGAGCCCCGGTGGTTCGACGAGGCGCTTTTCGTGCCAAACCGGGTGGGAGAGGGGTCAATTACAACTACACTTGTTTGGTTTTCGGGAGTTTTTGTTTTGGGTTTTACAGGCGGGTTTGGTCTTCGGTGTTAGAATTTGCGCGGTTTTGGCCTTCCTGACTGACACCTTATGGGTTTCACGGTTTTGTTTGCCAAACCCCCAACGACCCCTCCCCTATTCCCCAAGATAAAACCCTGATGATAAGGGCCTGACAAGGCCTTAGTTACTGGGCGCGAACTGCAGCACAAGTCAGTCCGCTGTAGTTTCCGAATATTTTGTAGTGTCCGAATCACATCTTAGTTTCCAAATAATGCTGTTTGGTTTCCGAATAGAACCGTTACCCATAATGGCCCGCCTACAAATGGTCGAGTTGGGTGCTTCTGGTCTGCCTTGAAGCTGCATCCAGAAGACAATGGGAGTTTTAGCGAATCCCTGAGGCAGTTGGGGGTACTTTTCCTGGACGCATTTGAGTGAACCCTTCCACGGGAGGTTTCCCTTTGGTTTCTCGCTACAACAACTACAAAACAGTTACCCTCAACACACAAACAAAATCATATTATTTGCGTCCGACCAACCGCTGGTCTTCAGCCTCAATGCTGAGAATCAAGTTACTTTCTTGACATCAAGCTTCTTGAACAGAGTCCTTAGGATGTAGCGCACTGGCCATGTCCCTACTCCTTGAAACGCGTGTTTCCAATGCAGAACTGATTGCCCTGGGCATAGTGTTTTTCGGTAAGTGTTCGTTCACATTGTCCCCTCGTGTTTTGAAGTTTTCAAAGGGACACCCACAAAAAGCCGCCCATTTGCAGGGCTCCAATTTGCGGAAGCGCCCTCATTCATCCCTGCGGCTTCCATGGCGAGTTCGCAGGCGAAGGGCGATCCACGCCTGGCGTGGGGCTTCTGGAACCATTGCTACAAGGCCTACCAGGACGGGTTTCCAGGGGTCCAATTCCTCTCTTTCCAGGGATCCTTCTTTCCAGAAACCCAGAGAAAACGGCAGGCTCTTGAAAAGAACGATGATTGAGAAGAATGGGGACTGAACCCCTGGAGGGTGGCCAGCTCTTTGCGGAAACAGCAATTTGGGGGGGCCCGATGGCTTGTCTGGGTCAGACAGCATTAATTCCTATCAGGTCACCTCAGCGCTGGGGTGTCCAATGTCGCCAAAGAGTCCGTTTGACTCAAGCCACTTAGGTCTTTGTGCAAAGATTGCCAACCAATTTCGACACTTTACAATGCGTATGTCCGAAACCTCAAGTTCTCCACGAGCTCACGTGCAGGAGACAAAGCCGCATCAGGGCTACGCGGCGCTTCGGCAACTGGGCCGGGAGCCCGAGAGAGATTGACTTTGTATGGTCAGGGGCGCGCAATTGCATCGAAGCAATGAGAGTTCCGGGCAGAATAGGCTTTGCGTGAGAATCATGAAACCATATCAAGCATAAGCCCGGAGTAATGGTGACTTGCAACATAAACAGCCCACTGGATTGAACACCGCTTCTGCGTTTTAGTATTTCATGAGTACCATGAGTACCAACTGGTTTTGTGCTCTTCGATGCTAATGGGGGTCTGCAAATGCGTCTGAGTTTCCAATGAACAGCTTGGGTGTTCTTTTCGCATTGACCTCTTTTTAAACATGCCCCTAGTTGTTTGGAATGAAGTGCACTATGCTTAAATATAACAAGTTCACGGCATATGTTTTATCGCTCTTCTCTGTTGACAGCTGCAACCCAAGCCTTTGCCGTGGCGGCCATGACGTCCGCCACTAGATGGTGCTCCCTGTGAACCTTCATGCTCTAAGTCAGTCAATCAAACAACCAAGTTTCAACATGTCTGTCTTGGGTGTCGGTTTTGACAGAAACCCCGCATTTCACATTCATCAACCACAAGCGCCGCATTTTTTGGTTAACGTTTATGGCAGGTCTCTTTTTGGCGGTCACAGACCTTGGGCGAGTGCGGGTTTCGGGTTTCCGGCGGCTGGGAGTGGATGCCGGCCCGAGGCCAAAGGTGTCCCTTCGGCTTCTTTTCCTTCACGTCGAACATCGACAGCCACTGGACCGAGCGATCGGAGCGGTTTGATTTTTTTTCGGCCGCTCCGGAGCCGCCGGTTTTTTGTTCTTCTTTTTTCTTCTGGTGGGTGCTCTCAAAGGGTTTGTGAAAGGGTCAGGGTTGCTAGAGGTTCCCTTTAGCAAGCAACCAACAAACCGATCAGCCAAGCATGTAAGCAAGCAAGCAAGCAAACAACCAATCAAGTGGCGCCCTCTTTGGAAATTGCTTTCGTTCCTGAAAACGTGGGTCATCAATTCTGAACCTCAGGGGTTTCCTGAAGCACCTAATTACAAAAGCAAGGGCACTTGAAGGTATCCTTGGATCTTCAATTCAGGTTTTGCGGTTGGATACAGTTTGAGCTTGCATTTAGGGACTTGATGATCTTGGGGTCCCTGAAGGGAATTGAAATCCGAGCAGTTGCGTGCGAGACCGCTTCCCTTTCAATCAATCTGAAAAGGGCTTACGAAAAACACACACACACACACACAAGCACACGCACACAAGCAGACACACACACACACACACACCCACACACAAGCACGCACACACACACACACACCCACCCACCCACACCCACCCACCCCCAGCCACACCCACCCACCCCCACCCACCTCCCACCCACCCCCAGCCACACCCACCCCCGCGCGCCCACCCACCCACCCCCGCGCGCCCACCCCCGCGCGCCCACCCACACCCACCCCCCACACCCACCCACCCACACCCACCCACCCACACCCACCCACCCACACCCACCCACCCCCACCCACCACCCACCCACCCACCCACCCCCACCCACACACACCCACACACACCCACACCCACCCACACCCACCCACACCCACCCACACCCACCCACACCCACCCACCCACACCCACCCACACCCACCCACACCCACCCCACCCACACCCACCCACACCCACCCACCCACACCTACTCACCCACACCCACTCACCCACTCACCCACGCACCCACGCACGCACGCACGCTCGCACACAAGCACACACACACAGAGAATCCCACTAAAATTCATTTCGGGATTTGTCGCCGGTGGCCGGTTTGCCCATTCGGTTCTCACCGACGCGGTCGTGCTTGCAGGATCGCGTCCGGCATGTCCGCGGAGCGAGTGCTGGAGGTCAGCGTTCCGGCGTTGCACTGGGACGCGGGAAAGGTTCGGAGGGCTGCCCCATTTTTGTAACCACAAGTCTCTCGGTTGCCTGTTTTAAGTGGGCTTGCTTTGAGTTGGATCATGTTTTTGGGTTGGACATTTGAAGAAGCTGATAAGAATGCATAACCATGGGTGCAACCGTGGCAGGTGCTGCTCAAAGTTTTTTTTTGCTACACAGGAAGTGGACCACGGAGCATGGTTGATTTACTTTCCGTTGAAACACCAAATAAAAAGGGCAGTCCCCAAAATAAACCAGCGGAAAGCACACACACACACACACCACACACACACACACATGTTTGCATGTTGTTCAAAAGGACACGCAAGGGGAACCGTTTTTTTCCTCCGATCTCAGTACAAGACGGTTCGTTCATTATTTGTTGGTTTTCAAGGGTCTGCTGGTCATGTGTATTTTGGATACTGTCTATCTCATCTATCTATCATCAATCATGTCTTTATTGCATCATTTTGTTTTTTATTCTTTTGATGTCTTGCTTGCTTTATTTGTTTTTCTTTCATTGTGTCCTGTCGTTCCTGCCTTCCTGCCTTCCTTCCTTCCTTTCTTCCTTCCTTCTTTCTTTGCTTGCTTGCTTGCTTGTTTGCTTGCTTGCTTGCTTGCTTGCTTGCTTGCTTCTTTACTTGTTTATTTGTTTATTCATCCATGGTTTGTTTGTTTTCTTTCTTTATTTCAGTTTTTTCTTTCCTTCTTGAATATTTACATATTTATTCATAGTGTTCTGTCTATCTCTGTCTTCCCTCCTTCCTGACCCTTGTCAGGTCGGTCCAAAGGGAAACCACAGCAACTATCGCCATTTGGGGGGGGCACATGCAAAGCCTCGGTAGGTGCACGGGGCGGTGAAGTGGCTGCAGTGCTCAAAGCCCTGCTGCCCGGACGTGTGGAAGGCACGGACGGCACGTGGGGGAGATGTGGTCAAGGCGCCTTTTTCTTGCTGGTGCTCAGCAGGGAATTGTGAATCAGCAGAGAATGGGCATAAATTCCATGTGCTCCCCTTGAATTGCTGGTGCTCAGGGAATGAGAATTGGAAAGACCCTTATAATCCATCCATTCTGGTGTCCTTTCAGGGACTCCTGGGTTCATTCCCACATTCCCTGCTTAGCACCAGCAAGTTTTTCTCGAAGATGGAAGCTATGAGGTCTCTGCCCGGATAGGCCGAGCTAGGGTTCTGGAAGGGTTCCAGGGGGTGTCGGGGATGCAATTTGGCAGCTTTCAGGGTGGGTGAACCACCTCAAAACAACCTCTCTCTAAAACAATCCCTAAACAAACCTTTAACCAGCCCTAAAAGCCTCAACAAGCCCGAAGCAAACTCGAAACCAACTCGAAACCAACCCTAAACCTACCCTAAACCTACCCAAAGCCGGCCTTAAGCCCACCCTAAACCAACCCTCAAACCAAGCGCAGCTAGTTTGAAGGCAAGATGATGTTTCTATTGTCCGGGAGATTCGCCTGCAGTTTGTCCTTTGGGTGCCTATGTGTGGGTAACCTCTGAAACGTGGTTTACTTTGGTTACGCCTTACCCCAATTCAATCTCAAATCCGAGATCTCTTCTGACATTGATGTACATTGAAAGGTTGACTACACATGAACCGGACTCAAACATATGTTTGATTGCGTTCAAAAACAGGCACGTGTGCTTAATCCCGTCCCCCTAATACTAACATGGTTCCCTCTCTAATAAACAGCACCTCGGGTGGCTTTGTTATGAGGACCCCCCGGTTTTTTGTCCAGAACTGTTTCAAACTGCGTTGTTTAGTGTTGGGCTCAAATTGGAAAGGGAGGAGCTTGGCCGAATTCTTCTGGTTTCTAGAGAGTTGCGTATTGGTTTAGAAGTGGGAAGTTTAAATTAATCTTGACAAGTTTGGGGCCGGCTGGAGGCTCTTGTTTCGTAAGAGTCCGTTTATGAATAGGAAGACGCACAATCTATTTGGTGTTTAAATCTCAAAGGAGGCTCCCCGCCCCCGTTTTGGGGTCGGTGTATTCTTTGTTTCCCTTTCAAACAACGCCCAACAAGTACCCCTCATCAAAAAGGCACATTTCTCAAAGTTACCCATCGACCTATTCAACAAGCTGACAATACCAAGCGCCACGAAGCGCGAAACCGGCTCCAGCGCATGGCCGGCGAAGTGCCCCACCGCGCAGGGCAAACCCACTCGGCAGCTCATGTTCAACTCCTGGATGGAAACATGGGGAGACGACATCCGGCTTGTGTTGCGAAAAAAGGACCCCCCCCCAAGGATGCCCGTTTTTTCCGGAAAACATGACTCCCCCATTTTTCCGGGATGCATATACTCCTGGAAGAAAAGAAACATGGAGATGTGTCGGTGTTTTTGACGAAACAAGGACTCCCCTCCCCCCAGATACCCCCACAGATGTGTGCGTTGTGTTCTTGGACAAGAGGACCCTCCAAATAATGTCTGTCGTTTTGGTTTGGACAACCGGACCCCGCAAGACGGGCGTCTCCCTTTCTACCAACGAAGATGGGGTATTGACAAACGAATATAGGAAGGACATGAACGCAAAGCTCCGATGGTAGTTCCTTTCTTTTGGTATCCAAACCCATGGGGCCCTGAACACGTTCCCCCCCGCCCCCACCGATTTCAGGCGCCGCCGGACCTGGGCTTGGCGGAGGACTCCACGCACCGGGTCACCGGGGCGCCGCGGCGTGGATCCGGTGGATGGGGGCGATGGATTTGAAGGCATCGGTGTCCTTTTTGCTTGGTTTGCTCAAAAAGTAGAGGGCCTGGTTTAGATGGGGTTTATTCCATTTACCAGGCCCATCTATCTTTCCAAAAGGCCACCTATGTTTGAAGGGAGAGCCGCCTCGGTTGGGGGATATAACCACATGGCTGTGGTTGCCAAAACCAATGGGATCCCATTTCTGGGGTAGGTGAATCCACCCATTTTAGAACCTATTTTAGTGGGGATTGGGATGTTCACTGGGGTACGGGATTTTGACCCATGGCCACATGCAACCTGGCGTTCGGGATTCATTTCAAGGGAAGCCCAAATGAGCTTATTTGACGAGTGTTTTGTTCAACTCCTAATCCTCAATGATTAGCGGATCATGGATTGTGCGGATTATGGATTAGATTATGCGGCTTGCAGATTGCGGATGTCCATGCTCCAACATATGGTCTTGACCCGCAGTTTGCAGCGCGGATTACGGATAAAGAAGGTTACAACAAAAGCAATAATTAAGCGGATTGCGGATAGCGATTGGGCCCCCCAGGATTTTGATCAGGCTAAAGACGAGGGGGCTGAATCATCCAACCCTGGTTCAAGCCACATCAGGAAGGTGACTTCATGGGTTTACAGGGGGACGAACACCCAGTTCTCCCAGAAACAAAGAAACAATGGCTTCAACTTACTAAGTGGGCTGTTTGCGGTGTCAACTGCCTGGAGTCGGTTCTTTGCCCCAAAGATGCACCCCAGATCCTCGTGTTCACCGCGCCGGCGTGCGGGGCAAAACGAGCTCATGAAGGTCCAAGTCTCGGTTTGAATGTGGGGATCCACCTCTGCAGGCTAGTTAAAGAGTACAAAAGATGACTAAACATTGCTAAACATAGGCCAACAGGGGAAGAAGGTGAAATCCACAAAGCGCGCATCGAAACCGTTTTCTAGATGCTATGCTAATATTATAGTAATTGATGGCTTCTGGGGGGGTAAAAGGGGGCAGAAGATGCTTGGAGCCTTTGGGAAATACTCTTCCCAAAAAGGAAATCCAGGAACTCGGGAATTGAGCTTCACGTCTCGATCTGTGACAGTGGAGAAGCCGCCAAAAAGTGAATTCCAGGATGGAAACCCGAAGCCTGAGGAGATACTTAAACAATTTGGGTTTTAGTGGTACACCAAAAGTCAAGATTTTTCTGGGCCAATCCACTCAGGAAGTGAGGAAGTCACGAGCGGCCTGGGCGGATTCTGGAGAGCCCCCATTTTTTTGTTCGGCTGTTTATGCTGTTTGGTTCTAAGAAGCACAAGGAACCGATAATTCAGGTGGGACAACCTTCTCCGTTTAGGGGTGTGTTTTAATGGTGCCAAGGTTGAGTTTTCCTGTGGGGTGAGGTTCAAGGGGACATAGAGGACACCCCTCTGCCTCTTGAAGCACCTCGTTTTCCCGGCCGTTTCATTCAGCGAGGTAGCGCGAGAATGACTTTAACCATTGTTTTTGTTTTACTAATTTACATTATATATATATATATATGCTCAACCCCCCCCCCCCCCCA